AAAGGGCTTCATAATAGTTGTAAGATTAATTCTTCAGTACAGTCAGTTAATCCTCATGGTCACATTTACACTTAATAATACACCCCTCCCTCAGCTAGCTCAGCTCGGCTCACAACGCGCGCTTTTCTTGCGTAAGCTAGCTTGCCGGCCTGCGCTTGGCTCTGGCGCACTGGGCATAGATAGCTCTGCCCCCGCGTGCGCCGCGCCGCAAGTCCATATTTTAATAGGGTTTTATTTTACGATCGTTTCGGAGACGTTTCATCTCATTTCTTTACGACCGTTTTCACAACCCCGCGCTATGAAAGCGTGTCTTCGTGAAGCTTGTGATAACAGAAATTTGAGATAGCGACTTGACCGAATATGATGTGATTTTTGTATTATTATTATTTTTTTTTTTGAGAGGCTTACAGCCGGCTACGATTGCCGTTACAGCCGGAAAAAATAGCCGGTTGCCGGCTATTAACAAGAACCCTGCTATATAATACCACAAACAACAAAGTAAGAAAATCATAGATTTTATGAGATAGGCATGCCTGGCAAAAAGGCCTGGCCAGAGAAATCAATTTATTATCAATAAGACACTATTAAGAACTCATCTGATCATGCCCTATTATCTTGAAAACTGATATTTCCAAATGCATCGATTACAACTTACAAATGATTGTACACAATGTACAACATGTTTTTATTTGAGGTTTATGAATCCTGTCACGTCATGTCTGATTTATGTGGGTGAAAAGTATATTTGTTTTATTCACTTCACGAGGTCCCACTATTCACAATGTATTCCACACAGACTATGTAGGCCTACCTGTATGGCTATTGAAAGAACTTATAGTACCCTGCTTTTACATTTTAAGCTTTGTGAATAAGGCGATTTTATAAAGCAAACACTCTAAATTCATTTACAGTTACAAATACCAAGTGATTATAGCAATGATGTCCTTCATGTAGCAAGCAATTTAAGTAATTACACTAACAAGCAACATCGCTCATACCTGTGCTATATCTCTAAATTGTTGTCTGTCATCTTCAATGAAGAAGCCATCAACTTTACCCATTCTTTAGGACTCATGTGCAGGGTTGGGATCAGTGCATTTGAGCAGTCACTTTGCAAATTCCTGCAACCTTCCCTCCCAAATTGACATATTGTAGCCATGACTTTCAGCAGAATCCAATCAAATTACATTTTATTATTTGCAGCCTCCTGCAGTGGAAAAGGGAAATCTAGTCTGTGTGAGATTTCCACAATAAAACGCAACCTGAAGACACTCAATATGAATGTGATTGATCACGTAGTGCTTGTAAGCATGTACACTGTAGTCAGTGTGCACTAGGGGAAACAGCTGGGTCCCATTCACAACCAACACTGTGTACCATTCATGAAAGATGTGGTTTAAAGGTTATTCGCGCCATTCGCTGTCCTAAAATATATATAAGACAACCGTCTTTAAAAAATCAAGCTAAATCCTTATACATTAGTGTACACTTTCAGCAAATAGAAAATCTGAATGGAGGACGCATTTGTTCGAAGAAATGTTCGGAAAAAAAAAAACCCAAAACAAGGAGTTCACAAAACTACACACTCATACCAGACTAATACTGTAATTCCTGATGAGGCAGAAGCATCCATATTACAAAACACACATCTTTGTCATTACATGTATATGATTATTCCACTAAACTTTGGCAAGTTTAATACTTTAAATATATATCCTCTCTATTTATTTTTTGTTTGTTTTCACTTTCAGTCAAAATCTAGCTTCTTCATTTCTGTTGCATGCCAAACGCAACTTGCATCGGTACTAAATATTGTAGCCTGAACCTGAGCCTATTATTACACAGGAACAAATGGCCTGAAATCAAACTTTCAAAGTTCGCTACTCGTATCTTTTTCTTTCTTTCTTCCTTCCATTAAGATAATCTGCATGTCCGTGTTAACTACTGGTATTTTGTTTCCTGGATCATTTTGTATCCTTTTGCATGGATTCACCTTTGATCTAATTCAAGTTCAACTAAATCACATTCATTAGGTTTCCTTATCACATGAAATTCACATTCATTGTACTCATGTACTCACATGCCATTTACAGTAATACAGAATGAATAATGTACCAGGCCTTTTGCATGGTACACTTTATTAAATCAAAACATATATCGCTGCTTGAAATAATTTGTTGCCAGTTGGGACTCCAGTTTTTAAAAGTCCTTGATACATCAGAAAGAAAACACAAACAATGTATTCTTTAATCAATATTTGTCTTCAAACACTTTTTTTTTTGGGGGGGGGGTGGGGTGGGGGATCTTTGCGGTACAGTACACCAGCGGTATGCCATACAAAATACTACACACAGTAGAACATATAATGTAATTTGTATGAATATGCTTGTCAATACTGTGTGCGATTCCATCATTATGAAATGGAGAAAAAAAATGCACACAAATAATCAGCACATCCGTTTTGTCTAACTATTTTTTACCTCAAAAACAGTATCCTTATGAATTAATTGGCAAATATGTCACATGATAAAACATAACATCCTGATATTGGCTGCCACTTAAAGAACTTTGACAGTTAAGATATATACATCCTTGTTGCTCTTTATAAAGATGGCACATTTACATTTTTCAACAACTTAGGACAGTGCTTGCATACAATGAATAATTTGGCATTTCGTCTAGATCAACAGCGATCTTCAGTCAAAACATTAAGCCATTAACTACTTTACTGCCATTGTATTCTAAATACCTGCATCAAATGCAAATACATTAACATCATCCAAAGTGAGAATGACTTGACGCAGTCCAACTGTTACAAAAAATTTGGCCATCTTTAGATTACCATACCATCACCATTGTATGTTTGCGTATGATGGAGGCATGGGGTGAGGGTGAGGGTAAAGTTTAGGGTTAGGCAGGGCTAACTACTAACAGGCACCCAGGACACATGGGCACCTAAAATATAAGTCCAGACCCCTAAAATTTAGAATTTTTTACATGGGGTTCATGCACAGAGACTGTAAAAAGGTTCAATCTGGACCCCATTCCCAAAAAGTGAGTATGGAGCCCTGAGTTAGGGTTAGGATTAGGATTAGAGTTACGATTAGCTCAGAAACTCGACCGGTAACTTATAACATAGCTTCGTTGGTGTAGCGTTGGTGAAGCATTGGTCAACCTATGGTCATCTGGTTAATTTATATGATTGGGTATTATTCTCAAGTTGTTCCTAAAATTTAAAAGAATGTGTAAGGCCTTTAAGGAACATTTCAACAAGAAAATTTATTAGATTTCTAATAAGATGGCACAATATTTTCATGGATGCCAGAGCCGCAGAGCGCCTCTGAAATGAGAGTAGGCCAGCTAATGCCAAGGTAATGATAGTACAACGCTTAGTTACAGTTTTAATATAAAGCATTAAAATATGTATTGTTACTATTATTAATATTATTATGAAATAATTAAATTTTAGTTTATTATCGTTATTGAAAAAGTAGTCCTCTTTTCTGGAGAAATGTAATGCTCTAATTTAGGACAACATTTAAAAAAAAATCTCCATCCCATAAAAAAATCAAATCTGCTGGTTGGAATGTCTCTTAAAAAATTTATTTCTTTAGTTTCAGACAGACTAAGCAAATAAAAGCATTGTGTATAATTTACAGATGTACAAGTTCAAATTGCTGAGACGAAATATACTATCGTGATCGCAATGCAATCATTGGTGTAAAATTGAAACCTACATAAAATGAATGGCACACACCATAACATTAAAGTCATTATATCAACATCAACATCATACTGAAAACATGAATTGACATTTAAATTCTTGGAATTGTTTCTCTCATGAACGTGAACTTATTTATCTTGTGTTTCAAATGTTCAAATATATTGGCTTGACATCTGTAATAGGCTAGCAGAAGATGAGTTCACATGTCCATAGCATGTTAGGTTAAGAAATTGCATCATGTAAATACACAAACTATTTATCATCAAGATTTGATCTATTTTAGAGGCATCTATTTTTAGACACATCTATTTATAGATACATCTATTTTAAGATGTAAATATTCTAGAGTAGATCTAGAAGAATAAATCATGAGAAGATAAATAAAAAATCATGACAGTTCTTAAGCCTAGGGACGAAAATTAAAATAAGACAGGCAGGCTAAGAATGAGGTAGCAACTAAACAATTATTCACATAAACTTCTCTGGCAGTTCACATGAATGAGGAAAGGTGACGAGAAAGTTATCAGGGAAATCTGAGAAAAGTAGAGAAAACTCAAAGAAGAGAGGGACAGGAGGTACTTTTGAAAGCCCCACCTGGGACTGGGGTCTTGGGGAACAAAGACAATTGGATAATCGTCTTCAGGCATCTGTCAGCAAGGAAAGTGAAATTGATCAACTCCAAGGAAAGCTGCTGCAAAAATGACCCCCAAATCCCATCTAACAAAGGCACAGCACGGTGCAAGCAATGCGATAGCAATTCTCAACATAGAGCAGAACATTTTCAGTGCGATTAGAACGGCCAAGTAAATCATCGCCAATTGAAGGGGAATAAAGATGGCAGACGAACGATAGTGAATCCACACCCAGTGTGTAACGACCTTTCATATTTTAACAAGTACAGCAGTAATAAATTAGAACGATCCGAAACGCCGACAAACAAGTATGAAAATTTGGCCGAAATTCGTACAAATTGACCACTGATAGCCCCCAGTGAACACACACACGTGTGTTCGGGGTCAATGCGGACACGATAGGAGATAATTCCTAAAATTTTAGTCAGAAATCTTACCGTAAATCGGAGATGAAGACGCCAGTCGATATAGCAATTTAGAATAAAGAGATCCCTGTGGTTGTTTTCTAATAAAAGAACGAAAGATTTCCACCAGCTCGACATATTGGAAGGTCAGATAAAGCCGTAAGGAAATGCAACGAAAACACAGATAAATCCGATTGAATGTGTACTGATGTGTCCCACACACACTCGTATGTTACTTACCTGGGCCTGTAGTGAAGTGAATGGATGAAAACTTGGGATAAATTCCGTCAAATTTAGTCACAAATCGAGCGACGATTCCGGATAAGAAACGGACACCATTTTTTTGTTTGCCCTTGTTGTTTCGTATAAATAGGTAAAAGGATATATGAGGAGTCAATTTATGCATGAGTCGTCTACGGCTACACGGCAGCTGCGCGTAACATGACGGCTTCGCACCCCGCGGCTTGGCGAAAAATTGGGCAAACTTACGTCCAAATTTCACAACATTCGACCCAAATCACGGCTCCAGTGTTACGCAATCATCCAGGCACTAGTACCTTTGGCACATCATGGTATTTGTGGACATAAATGTGTTATTATTTCACCAAAAATCGTCGAAGATGTTGGCAAATGTTGCGACGAATTCGGGGGGTTGCTATTAACGGAGTATACATCGAGATAATGACCCCGAGATTTCTTTGTATAAGAAGTATACACATTCGGATATTACAATTAGAATTGAACCAATTTACCGGCAAATTATACACTATTATTCCCTCATATTTCATCGTTTAAATTGTGGAAATGTCGGTGTATGCTTAGTTTTGGGGTATATGTGTCTATTTAAATAATATAAGGCCATAAATATGTGCGATGTGCCGACTAAAGTGAGTGTTTGAAGTGATATAATCATTGGGGACATTCAGAACAAAGTAATCTTGCGATCATTCGCGAGGGGTCTGTCAAGTCGCGAGGAACAAAAAAAGTCAAACATTTCAGATTGAAATAAAACAATATATTGAATTAATTTCTCTATTTTACTCACTCATTCATGAAGCCCGATATCACCAAAGGTTTCCCTTTGGTTTCTGAAGTATTTAATCCTATATAACTCCAATAAAAAGCGGGGACTAAGCGGGTAGGGTAAGCTATCCGAGGAAATGGGAATTTCTAGCGGTGAATTATATTTTGTCTACATGTGGGTTTGTAGGATGTGCGTGACGTCACGCTCGCGAGGCAATAACAAAAAAAATCGACATGAATGAAATTTTGTGGACGCACTGTGTGTAAGGCATTACACGGTATGGTTCGTTTCTCAGACAATAGGGGGTATATTTTTTCGTCGTGTGGGCACAAATTGCGTTATTTTGCATAACTTATTTGATGGACCTGTCGCGTCACGGGCTTCGCGCTGTTTTTCTAGAATCTATTGTGAGTAATGCTTTCGACGAAAGTTGAATTCTTTGAATTTATGTCTGCATTGCATCAACGTCAATAAAAGATCATGGGATTATTAAGATATTTGTCATAACTATTTAGTTTCAACTTTTCTTAGGAAGGAATACGTAGGACCGTTTATTTTGTTCAATTAATTTTAATAAAAAACACTTTTCATATTTACGAGAACGACTCAGAGAATTGTTTTAACTTCTTTATTCAGGTTTGCAAGAGAAAAAGAAAAAGCAACTGAGTGTAGGCCGACCACGTTGAATTAAAGTATGAAATTAGTTTTAATATGATAAACGGTGATGATCGAATTTTCATAGAATTGAGGAATAGATACATAGATGGTTCATGAAGATCTATATGATTGGAATGATATGTTCAGTAACAAAAAAGACTACAAACGCCCATCGGTGCCGGATAAAATATTTAAAATGTTATGATGAATAAATGTAAAATGTAAAAAATAAAAGAATATTGAAGGTAATTGTTCTATGATACAAATAGGGATACCATTTTTTTAAATACAGATTGAACAACCTTCTTAGTGTTAGTTGTCGGTGGTGTATATCATGTGACCTCGTTGCAACAGTGTTGCAGAGGGATGTAATCATGGTCAACAGACAACAACAACGTTTGTTTACGTTTAGTCAAAGGGGCGTGGTTTGCACACGTGCTCTTAAAGCACGTGTATATATTACGCGCTTCTCGTTAAACAGGGGCGCGCGCCCATGTAACAAAATGGGCGGTTAGGGCGGTCAGTTGGACAGGGGCGGAGTATGTTTATGTAGGCGGGGCGAGGTCAGTGGGCGGGTCCGGCCTCTGTCAACAGCTATTGTTGTATGAACTGTCAAGCTTGTTTTACGAGAAAGAAATGCGGAAACTAAATCCAATCATGGCAAATTATTGTAAGGACTGGATGATGCCGCTTATTTGATTAAGAATCTGTTTTATTTTTAGTGCTTGTAACCTGTAGGCCTATATGCCACTTGCTTGGTATTTTTTTTCTTGCTTAGCCTACATTTGTATAATTAGTGGGTCAAAGTTTTAGTCGGCTTTTTTCCTGACCTTTTCCCCTTGTAGGTAGATTAGTTAATTTAACATTGAGGAATATCTATTCTGGTTTGAAAGTTGTTTATGTTGTTGTTGTTAATGTTGTTGTTATGTTTCTATTAGTTTTGTTTAAATACTTTTATATTCTTTAAAAAAAATTAATTTGATTTACATCTTAGTTCTTGTTTGCATAGGAGGCTTATTTCATCAATTATAAAAGCAAATAAAGGAAACAAAATAATGTGTTTAATTAATGTATAACTAAATTCATATTCAGCATAATAATCAGGAAAATGTCATATGACTTCTAGTCGACTTGTATATAAGCTTGTGTAACCTGCATATTTTTCTAAATCAATATAGGCTCATAATAATTATGCTGACTTTCTGTTTCTGTTTCTGTACGTGAAATTAAGAATAAGGAAATGTTTATTACCTTATTTGACGAGAAGGCAACAAAAGAGATAACAAATACAACTATAATACTTTCTACAAAAACAACAGATGCTAACAATGATAGTGGAGATGATTATGATGATGACGCTAATACTGATGATAATTATAATGATTATAATGATAATAATAAAAAATAATAATGATTTTGTAAACAGTGTCATCCAGTCCTATAGATGCAATGATGTTGGAAGTAACTATAATGTAATTACGAACCTCGAAAGTAGACAAGGAAATAGATAATAACGAAAACAATCATTATAATTATAATAACTACAACAATGTTAATGAAATTGTAATAATAAATGAATTATGATGATGATAATAATGACAAAAACAACAATAACAAGAAGAAGAACATCAACAACAATAATAGCAATGATAAAAGGAACATAAGTAGATGGAAGCATGGAGAAAGAAAAAGTAGAAAAGGAAGAAGAAAGGTAAAAGAAAAAGTTGATCATGATGATGATGGATGATGATGAAGAATCTCATCTTTGTTTTGTCAGAAACAGAATTATCAAAATAATAATAAAGCGCAATATACCCAATATTGTGGTTCATGAGATTCTCTTTGAAGTATTCATTTAATTATAAGAAGTCTTACAGATAATGACTACAAGTTGTCAATCTCCTTCACACCCCTCCCCCTTTTTCCCAATGCGGACAGCCCCACTGCTGTCAATTATATTCTCAATCAGAGAGAATGAAGAGAGAGAGAGGGAGAGAGAGAGAGAATATTTGCGCCGAGACAAACATTGTGCGAACTGCTTTGGTACAAGTGGGTCGTGCGCAATTCTAAATTACACAAATGACGCGATTACACGGAGATCAACAGTCTTCGAATCATCTTCATGGATTGCCCGCTGTCAACCGCCTCTCAGCCAATCACGCCACAGTATCCATACCACGTCATGATACATTTGCTTAGCTCATTAGCATATCTGGAGGTAAAAACACCTAGGTAGGGCAGGGCTCATTTTCATAGCGATATTTCGGAGATGCCTGTTTTTCCGGTAAGATTGTATCTCATTCGTTTACAGGACATAAACGCGCTTCATATTAGTCCTCGGCAGGTCATGCGGAGGGATAAAATACGCCGCACTACAGCACATCACCTATCTGTCTCGCGGCCGTAGTTCATACCTCATCAAAGATCATCAACCATTTTCTTGTTGGAATGACTCGAAAATCGTTATAATAAGATTATAATGGGTTATTTTGAAGGGGAAAAAAATGGGAAATGCAGTGTAACAGATGAGCAGAATATATTTATATTTTTAGAGATTGGAAGGAGGACTATCCAGCTGCAGCCGATCATCTTCATCATGGTCATCAGATTCATCATCATCGTCATCACCATCACATTGATCATCATCATCATCGTCGTCGTCGTCTTCACATTCATCATCATTATCAATATCATCGTCATGTTCATCGTTTCATCATGATCACCACCGCCATCATGCACCACCATCATCTTCCAATTCGTCGCCATTAGCATCATCTCATCAACATCATCATCATTCTCATCCTCATCACTACCATCATTAGGCCTATCATCCCATTCATCGCCACCAGCATTATCATCAACGTCATTATCATCATCTCCATGATTATCACCACCATCATCATCAGAAGCACGTTGTCGGTCTCGTGAATTTTTAAGAACTTTTTATCTCTCCGTGTTTTCTAGAACTTGTACTTTTAGTGATCGGCCGGTCTCATATACTTTATCATCGACGTCACCATTCCATCTTTATTACCATTATTATTAACATCATCATCACCAACCAACATTAGCACTACCACTATCATCATCACTTTTATTTACATCATCATCATCATCATTGTTACCTGCACCACCAATATCATCACTAACCACCACCACCACCACCACCACCACCACCACCACTATCATCATCATCATCATCTACAAAAAACCATACTTTTAAAAAATAAGTTACAATCAACTCTTTTATATAGTCATGTACAGTTACATGGTATACGGGAACGCATAATGAAGCGCCACTACTGACCCCCCGCCAAAAAAAAGAAGAAGATTAATGTATACGATTATAATTTCTTTTCAAAATTAGTCATTTACGTCATTACGTATAGTTGAAATAATCATTATAACGGATTCGACACTATGCTTTTATGTCAGGCAATTCCCGGGGCAATTTGTTCCTCTAACTTTGACAGAGAAGATAATAATTATTAATCATCTATACGAGAGGTCGTGGTAATATTTTTCATCCTTTCAAAATAATGCATATATTATAGAAGGTTGTTGCTTGGTTTCTATTTTTCCTTCATTTCTTATTTTGTTCATAATATTACATCACTTGGGTAGGTTTCATTCGTGACAATAGGATATTCCTTACATATCGCGTGTCGATGATGTTCGCTTCTGTCTTTCATGTTTTGATGAATAACTTTAAAGAATCCTTTTGAATCCTCGACAGGAATTTTCGGGAAACATCCAAACCTGGCGGGTCTTTCATTCAAAATACGCTCCAATCAAAACGTGTAAAGCTTAGATCCATTAGTGTCCTCATCGTTCGGCAAACCAAAATCGGGTATTTTGAACCACAAAGAAGAAATATACATGCGATTCAAAATGTCTGCTTTTACGTTAGTAATGGTGATGTATTTTTGTAATTGGAATGACTTAATTTCGTAAATATAGACGTCCTGATGCCCAAATGCTAATCAATAATAATTTATCGGCCAGACATTCATTTT